CTTATATCTTTATTCTAACCTACTTGTTACGTCTGCCAAGCATTCGGGCTATGGCAACTTTTTTGGCCATTTTCTTACCTGTTTCGATCATTTCGAAGCCACAAAATGAACGACGCAAATTACATATTTATAACTCGTTATTTATCTCAAACAAAAGGTTATATCTTATCCTTTAAAGGAGCAATTCTTGTATATATATATAATCGGAATCTCGGAAACGGCTCCAGCGATTTTCATGAAATTTAGTATGTGCATAGATTCGGGGGCGAAAAATCGATCTAGCTATGTTTCATTTTTAGAAAATGTCATAATAGCTCGGTCGGTAATCGGGCGGCCCCAAAACAGACGGCCGTGGTTCGCGTCACGATCATTTACACATTTATTTTTTTTACTTTTTTTCCGATTCCAGATCATTGCTTTCTTTATTTTTAATTTTTTGTCCATTTGTTATTTTATTATTTTTTCCCTTTTTTTTAAAGTTCTTTCTTTTGTGAAAAACATCAGTTCATATTTTCTTATTATTACGTCGATAAGATCGAACAACATTATGCATATTTCATTACTCTCTAATTTGTATCTAAATGTAATTTCCAAAATATACGGTCCTCCGGGTACTTTTATAATATTAAAAGACCCTACACCGAATATTGAATTAAGATCCATAATCGGTAACAGCCTGTGAAAGTCCCACTGCGCTATTATTTCACCCCTATTATTTCGATTTATTATTTAGAAAATATGCAGGTTTCCTCACGATGTTTTTCATTACCGCTGAGCAAGTAATAATCATTCAGCAGTTAAAATTTGCAATTTAGTTGCTGCTGGCACCGAGATATGAACTCAGGCTCGAGTACAGAATTAAAGCCTGGAGACTGAGCAATAATAAATTAGTAACCAATAACTTTATTATTTATTTATAACTTAAATAGATAAATTGGCTTTACAATTGAGAATCGTAATGGTTAATATTTCAAAACAAACAGATGCTGCTGCGTGGCCCCTTGCGCTTTAAAAGAACTAGAAATATAAAAATTAGAAATATCTGGTTGAAGGTAATAAAATCTAGTTAAAAACTTATATTACAAATATATTGCTTTATACGGCCTGTATGTAACTAAGATTATACCAAAGATTCAGGATTTATCTTACGAAAGCGACAAGGTCGTATCTCGTTATTATTGCGACATATTTTATTTGCTACTGTTTAAGAAACAAAACATCACCTACGCGCAAAAAAATGTTTGCGAAACAAGCCGAGAGCTTATATGATTTTTTTTCTTTATCATCACTGGTTCGATGCCAGTGGCAAGCAATCTTAAGCCAGTGAAGACGAAGTATAGACACGTGTGCCTAAGAAAGGGGTTCGATGAAAAGAGAATAGCATCTACTCACAAAACCGTCAGATAATACTAGACTAAAGAGAATTCAGTGAAACTATTTAACAGATTTTATCGCGTGTTATTTTGATTTTAAATTCCCGAAGTTTCGAAAGTTTTGAAAATTCATGGTCAGTTCCGTGGTTTTGTTCGTTCATTATTCGCGTAATTACATGAAAGCGAATATGAACTACCATGCCTTTTACAATAAATAATAGAGAGAACGCTAGATTTTTTTTTACTTAACACAAAGTCTACTTGTTAATCTCAGAGATAAATCGATCCATTATTATTGTTATCAAATTCGGCGCGAATAGTATTTTGTAACATCCTTGGAATGCGAAATAATTCTTAGCGCTACTATGTGCGCAAATGAACATAAAGTTATTTTCTTTCATTTAGTCGCCGCACGCACATATTTAGTTTACATTTTTTTTATTTTACAGATATTTATGCGTCACATGTTTTCCGTCGTTGGGCTTATCCCAGATACATGATTTAAATGAGATCACACATTAAAGAAGCAGTAATGAGAATGAAAAAATATTGACTAATTGACAAAAATCTTTGATTATGGACCATTATAAGAGTACAAATTCTGGAAACAAAATTTAGTGTCAACACTCTCGTCGCCATAGTAAACCATAGGAATACCCCGTTACCCAAATTGATATAAGTCAAGTACCTACAGTCATTTGTTTTCCTAATTGTGTCTTAATGAATTGACGTAAAAGACGAACTTAGCAAGCAATAGTGTGAATTTAATAGGCAAACAAATTAAAATGGGGTTTCAAAGTAACGGTATGGTTAAATACTAATATATTGAACACGGTAAGGCAATCATTCCAAATTAAAGCGACCAAATGTGATAGAAGTTCCGCTGCAATCAGTAGTGCCTTAGTGAAGATTTTTTTTATGTCAAACGTTGCCTGATGTTAAGTGATTATCATCGCACATGGACAACCAAAATACCAGAGAGGCGGCAGATGAGTTGCCAACGGTTAAAAAGTAAGCCCCGGTATAATAATTCCACTTCACACCGGTATTATTACCTCCAACCAAATATTTCTTAATTTTATACTTTTTTTTCTTTTAATGTGAAGGGGCCACGCAGCGTGATTATGCACGGTTTAGACTTCACGCGGTACTTCCCTTAATGAGGATGTCCAATCGTGAAACAGCAGTAGCTACTGAGTGGTCCTACCACAGTTAAATAAATGGCGTACCTTGAGTAATTGAAAACTCTTTATTGCACAAAAAAGTTTGTACAAGTCGAACTAAATGCCAACGGCATTTTATATCATTAACCTAAGGGTAGTTTACAGTAACGTAAGTGTACAGATATAACGTTTACTCGTATAATATTAAAGTTATAATTATAAATCCAAAATAAAAAACTTAAATTTAAAAAATAAAAAACTAGTGCAGAGCGACGACACAAATTAATGTCATGAATACATAACAAATAGGACTTCGAGACAAAAGTGCATCCAAACTCTTAGCTCAGTAATCGTAAACTAAGAACGCGGTCACGAGGAAGCGCTGCTAACATAATAATATATTAAAATAAAGCACAGGTTTGCGTCGGTCCAAGAATCAGAATTGTAGTAAATGACGTCCGATGTGATGCAACGACATTTACGGTCGAGCGCGAATCGGGGACGTTGTACACTCGGCGCCAAACTCGACGCGGCCGCCGAGTATTTTTTCGCTGTATCAACACGCAATATTCCGCGAGCGATTGTTTACCGTTTCGACGCTGTACGCTGCTTTCGTTTACTTGCCGACGGCGTGACGCAGCGTTCGAATTTTAAAGTTCGATATCATTTAAATGACTGCTCTCCCCTGTCCTTGCGTTATAGGTCAAATAAGAAATCCACTCTTTCGTAACTAATCAAGCCATCTTGTCATTGAAGACTGCGATGCTATCAATTAAAGTCGATAGCAAACGAGGTGATGTCGTATTTTTAACGTTACGACTACAGTGCATGCTTCATATTTATGTTGGAATCACGTGATTTACCTAAGGGTAACTTAAAATATCTTTACCGATATATATGTATTTGTAAACTTAACATATTAAGTGATATGTAAACAAAATAGATAGTAGTAGAGCTACGCTAGGTCTTTGCTCATAGAAGACCGGTGTAAGGGTAATACTTCTGCGTTTCAGCTGGGGGGTGACGTAACCGGAGTCCACTTTATTAAAAGGTCGCAACGCATCTGCGACTTTACGGGTGTTATAAATATCTTTGCGTAGCGATTACCATTTAACGGGGTAATCGCTGCCCATGGTTATTTACATAAAATTTACATGTAACGTTTTTACATAACAGTTCGTTTTTCGTGTGTTGTCACGTGTAAGGAAAATTTATTCGTTAGGTATGCCAAAAATAGCTAATGCTGCACAGAAACAAAATAATTTTGATCTTTGTTTCATCCTGTGTTTATTAATGATTCATGTACTCCCTGTGTTCTCGTCTTTTATGAATAAATAAATAAACATGAAAATGTATAAAGGCGAAATCATTTATTTTTCAAAAAAGAAAGTTATTATACCACGGCAATAAAATAAATGACTACTACAGTTATATATTACATATAATAAGAAAAGTATTGTTGTCATTCAGCTCTTTAATTTAATAAATGTAAATCACACTACTTGTAGTTTCTTTTACTTGACCTAGAATTATTCTTAATAACAGTTTACCGGCCTTACGAATTTTCTAGATTCAATCCGTTAGACGTAATAAAATGCTGTCTACTTTTTTAGCGATTATTACTTATTAACTTTTAAATATAAATTTTAATGTTTTATCGCAAGATTAAACATGAAAATTTGTAGAGAAAGTACGAAAATATTGTCGGCGCTGTGAGAATCGAACCCACGTCTTCTGACGACGATCGTACCGATCTTTTCGTGCTTTTTCTAGAAATTTTAAACTTTTAAATATATTATTTAATGATATGAAATTATAAAAAGTCGCTATTAATGTGCTGGCATATAAAAAAAACTGGCCAAGTGCCATTATCACGGTTCATGAAGCTTGGTGACAAACAGACAGTCATAGGAGTCTTAGTAATAGCGTCCCGTTTAACTCTTTGGGTACGGAACCCTAAAAAGGCATACTTATATTTAGCTATATAAAGATAGGATTAGACTGATATTTAATCGGAAATTCCATAGCGAAGATGCGACAAGAAGGAGAATATACGAAACGGTATTAAGAAATTTTGAAGCGGTACGCTACGCTACGGTGCGCACGTGGCGTAGCCATATTGCAACATGTTACACTTGCAAACATGGCAATTACTTGTTCACGTGCAAGCATTTCGATGTTGTTCAGTTTAGTGTTATTAAAACTTTTTTTTTATCATCATAAAAATGTCGCATAGACAAAGAACCTAGTTGTCGGCATCTATCTTGAGTAAATATATGCGCTATATTATTTTTGTTTTTTTTTTATATACTAAAACAATAAAAAAAACTGTGCGATACATTAAAACATTTATATGCTATAAACATATTTTTTTTAAGTGAAAAGTTGTCAAGTGGTTCGCCTGATGTTAAATGAATACCGCCGCCCATGGACATCTAACGAGTAATCAAAACCGCAACCAAAGATGGCGGAATGTCCCGCGGTGCAAAAGGCGCGTTCCGGTTGCGCTCGGTTGGTTTTCCTCCAACACTTTCAATGTACATTCTATACGTTCACGAAACATGTTGCCATTCAATGTGTCAAAATCTCAGTAATTATTAAGACCGGTAAAATTGATAACATCAAAAGATAATTTATTCGTATGATGCGTTGGAAAATTTTGAAAACAAATACGTGGAGATTTGATAGAAAGATCCTCAAGCCACAGATAATGCTTTTATGTTGCCGATTTTTATCTTCTATTGTATATATGTTTTAATGAGATAATACTATTAAGAAGGCGCGTGTTGCTCTTGGCTAGCAAGCAGTATTGGCCTTAACTAAATGGAAATGAAAAATGCCTAAGAAGAAGAAGTCACTTATTACAAATAATCATTAGCATCTGTCTCATTTTGCTTATTCAATAGTAATGAGAAAATAATTTAGGCTCATTGTTTTGTTAAAATTTTCCGTCAACAACCACCGCAATTGGAACTGTTTTGTTGCGAGAGAAGCGCTTTTTAAATACCGCCATGAAGATGCAGTGAAATCATACGACATTATTTCGAATAGTTGCGGTTCCATAGATGTTACATTGGTCTCAATGCACCAAATGATACTCAAAGTCCAAACAAAATCCATAATTGAAAAAAAATATTTTTCAAACAAACTAATTAAGTAAAAAAGAAACAAAATTTGTAACATCCTATACAACTCGCGCCACAGCGTCTAATTACAAGCCTCTCCTTCTAACAGTATGTTTTGTCTCTTTTAAATTCATTCAACCCATTCATATGGTTTGTGACCTTTACAAATGAACTTTACGTTACGCTTTTATAGGTAAGGGTGTTCTAAAATTCTTTGTTTTGGAAAATTTAATAACTCTGTAAATATTGATGTTTAAAGAATGTAAATGTTTAATACAACTTTAGAAAGTTATCTCCTTTATGTGTGTTCATTTGTTGTCGCGATGGTAACGACACGCTGTATATGTATATATACATATATATATATATATATAATCGGAATCTCGGAATCGGCTCCGGCGATTTTCATGAAATTTAGTATGTGCGTAGATTCGGGGGCGAAAAATCGATCTAGCTAGGTTTCATTTTTAGAAAATGTCCTTTTATCCCTGTTTTCAGGGAATGAAAAATATCATTCGAATATGACAGTAAATTACGTCGCAAAATAATCGGTCGGTAATCGGGCGGCCCCTAAACAGACGGCCGTGCTTCGTATCACGATCATTTACACACTTATTTTTTTTACTTTTTTTTCTACACCAGATCATTTTCTTTATTTTTTATTTTTTTATTTCCAAAACACATAATTTATAAAAAAACACCGAGCGAAGCTCGGTACTCCAGGTACTTATGTATTGTATATACATTACTATTCAAACATGAATAACGTAATCAGTATTACTTAAATATTTTTATGATTATGTACAATTTCATCGAAGAAATGTGACTGCTACAAGTTTTTCCGGTAAAAAAGTTGATTTATTAAATTCTTAATAAATCAACTTGATTACATTTATGTATTAGAAAATCTCTAATATATAAATATACATGTTAATTGTACTATTGGATAAACCGTTTTTACTCTTAAAACTCACCCCCTTTCACTTCTTGACCTGAGATCGCCCGTAAATTATTTTTCATTTCATTATTTTTTTTTGTTTTCAAAAGTTATCGACCCTGGTCTATCAAATAATAAACCTTATTTCACTGCGAGTTTTTTTTTCCAAAAGCGTGTGTTTTTCTCAACAAAGGAGACGGCATGGACAATTCAACACGATCTAAGTGAACGGAAGAGATCGTAGGTGAAAATGACGTAATTTATCGCAGCCAACATCCTCGGCCCCGGAAGTGGGTCATGAGCGAGATAACTAAACAATCAAGTCGTTGCCGACAGTCCTCTGTAGAATCTTCTGGATATGTCCGTCAACAACATTGTGTATCAACCAGGTGTATTTTTTGGTCTAGACGCATCTTGTCTTTGATACTTTTATTCATAAAATGGAACCGATATTGAAGCTTTTTTATGTTTGCAGATTTTTTTCTACTATATCTGTAATAGTTTGTTTCACGTTGTGATCTCATTTTGGCCAATAAATATTACTTCGACTATCATTAGTATCAACCTTCCACCATATTCAGCAGACCTCCGCTTTCTACATCCAGCTACTTCCAGCCGTTTTTACGAGATCCTAATTGAACGAGCCTTCAGAAAAACATAATCCCATCCGTACTTATTGGAAAGAATTTTTATGCTTCATACTTGTCTCGTTAAAGGAATGAACCTAAGAATCGTGTCGCATAAATCTAAGAACGTCATGTCACTTTCTTACTAGCTCTAGGCTCAATAAAGCACCAAAAATTTTGCTGTGATCTCAACACCTATGGACTGTAGCCGGTAAAAGTATTGCAAACATTCATCCCAAAAAGCACGGTGGTCAGCTCTGAGCACATCTAAGTTTTGGTTGACTAAATCACAAGACCATTCATTAATTCTATTTAATTCTTACAAGCTGTTTTGTTGTTTAAATTTCTGGACATGACAACGGTATTAACATTTCCAAATAAAAATAATAGTTATGACATGCATTTAGGGCATTGTAACGGGTTCACTTGAAATGTTGTTTATTTTTTCCTCGCCGATAAAATCAAAAGCCCCAAAAAATGCATGTCCGAGATACAAGAAATTTAATGAAATTTGCATAATTATGTTTCTCAATTTACTCGTCTCCTTAGAACAAACTTCCTCTCGCCGTATTTATTATCAATAATCTTCTTTTTTTTTATGAAAATAGTATTTTGCTTTCTCGTGTTCTTTCATCTATCTGTTTCACACCACATGTTTAAAGTAACCTACTGCAGTAGAGATTTAAAACTTTTAACTTATCTCTGAATTCTGTGAAAATGCACCCAAAACACTTTTGTGTCTGTCTGTTTAAATTTTTTTACATTTAGTTTACCTTACATTATACTTAGTTCACAAGTTGAATAAAATAAAATATTTCTATTCTCATTTCTTTCTGCAATTCACTGGATTTAATGACATTATGTAGGTTTTTTTTTTGTAAGAAGGTGGCAAGCAGACTGGCAGTTCACCCGAGGTTATGTGATAACCGCTGCCCATGGACATTTGCAACATCAGTAGGGTTGCAGATGCGTTCCCAACTTTTGATAAAGTGGGCTTCGGCTACCTCACTCACCAGACGAAACGCAGAATTATAACACTTCTACTTCACGCCAGCCTTCTATGAGGACGTGGATCCCGTAAGACCCGGAAGGACCAGCCCATTCATGCATGCATGTTATCGCTGAACATCAGGTGAACTGACAGCTCACTTGCCACATCTTCTGATAATGCAAAAAACTAGTAAACCACTTTATATAAAAATTTGTTTTTTTTTAGTGCTAGCCTACATTAAAAATAAAATCTATATGTGAAATGGCCGTGAGAATATCGGGCGCTAGAGTGTATAGGCCAGTTACCCAGAAGATGCAGACCATGGCTGCGCCGAAGATTCTAGGAATATGTGTCTATTAAACTCACAATGTGAACTTAATATCTTGAGAAATTCTTTTTGAGATGTTTGTTTTAGTTTTAGTTTTAAATTTAGAATATATCTGTTTGTTTTCTATTATCAAACATTATTTCGGAGTACAGAACGAATTCGGGTTGTGACTTTAATAAATATTTACACACGTTTGAAAAGTATTGTCTTAAGCTTTATCTCTTTTCTTATCTCTGTTGAACAGACAAAGCTCGATAACTAGTTTTAAAGAAAGATATAAGCTATGCTTATCTGCCAAGCGCAAGTTTACCGCCGCGACAATTAAGAGACATGGGGAAGAAAAATTTAAATCACGAAACCGCAATGTTTTATAGTGTACAAAAGAATACATACGATCGAATAAGTCAGAATAAAAATAGTTAATCGAAAAGGAGTCAATGATATGTGTCACTTTTGCAATTGTGTATGCAAGACACGAGCGGCGAAATAATTGCTGCAGACGTTATAGCGCGTCTGTTTTGTATTCCCAGTGCTGTCGCTGCGTCCTGGGCAGGAAAATTCGAGCCACCTTAGGAGCGTTGGCTTAATTGTGGATAATGAGTTTCCCCGCTCTGACCTTTAGTAGTTTCCACATTAGTATGAGGCACTTCCTCCGTGTGATTTAGTCTTGACATAACGCGTGCCAGCACGCAGCGTGGGCGCCGCGGCCCCGCGCGCCGAATGCTGTATGTAATTCTGTCGTTACGAGAATGCACTGAATTCCACGTAACTCCAACCGACTCTTGTCTCCAACCAATTTCGCCAAGTAGCAAGGTCAAGTTTTATTAGGAATGGCAATAACGAATTAGGACGCCGCCAGTGGTTGCGTGTTTGACGACAGATAGGAAGTTTTACTTCAGCTGCCTGTGGCCACTTCGCGCTCGAGTGAACGCGCCCGTACGAGTATGCTCGCGCAAATACTTCACATTTGCTTTCATTTTATTCTTCAGCCATTATTTTGTGATGCGTTCGGATTCTATTAATGATTTCTTATATGCACGCGAATACTTCACGACATAATTATAATAGGTCGATGTAAATCATATTGATTTCTTAATTTTACGCGAATATTATACATATTAAATGAAACTAGTTAATTGTCGCGTGACCATGAACGTTCGAACGGTTTCGAAACTTCGAAAATAAAAAATCAAAATTAAAACGCGGTAAAATCCGTACACAATATTATATGTAACAATACTTTGAATTTTATCGCTTTTGATTTAAATACGTTACTATTATACTTATGATAGGAACTGTACTAAAAACAATGTGTTGTGGTTAAGAGTTCACAATCAGGTGAAAATTCCCCATAGCAATTTTTTATTCAAGTTTAATTTCATTTAAAATTTTGCGAAGATGTTAACCTATTGATTTCTTCAATTTATTCATTGACCTTCAGGATCATAGAGTTGCATTACGAAAAATGTTGCAAGACATGATCTTAGTATACTCATATTTGCATAATGTTATCAAAATTCACTCTATAATTTTGTATATAGTAAAGTAATTATTAAGACTTTTTTTTTAAATCTAATTGGTTCATTTTTTAAGCGTGAACGCCGTATTCGAATGTGAATTAAAAATATGAAGGCAACATATTATTTTTTTATTAGTCAAAGGTCAAATTCAATGTCAAAATGTGTTTATTCAATATAGGCTTATTTAAGGCTCTTATTTTAAGTAAAAAAAAAACTAGTAACGGTTCACGAAACTAGACTTATCGAGAGAAGAAGCGGCAAGAAGTTCTACTGTCTTATTTTTTAAAATAAGGTATATAAGTGCGCAAAAACATTTTAGTACAAAATAACCAGTGGACTTGCTAATGCAGAGCAACTTAGTACATTTTAATAAATGCCCTATATACCTTTGAAAGGCCTAAGGCACTTGGTAATAAAATGATTGGCCTTAAATTCAGCTAAATCTTTTAAGCTTTACTAGACACTTTTAATTTTACTAAAATTTAACAATTACTTAATACTTAATATGTAAATGAAAACACGACAGCAACATAGTAAATGATCAATTAGTTTTGATGTTAACACATTTAAACTTAACTTTGATTTATAATCAACTTATCGATTTGGCCTCGTTTTAAAGCTATGAGAATGAGAGTTTCTTTCCATAGTTCGAGAATAGTTTTTATTTTTAATAGTTAATATACATAGTTCTTTAGAGTTCTAGAAAAACATAAAAGCTTTAAAGTTTTACATGGAATGGCGTTATTTTCTATGTGCATATTAGTTATATCTTTGTCTCTATATTTACCTCAAAAATCAGTTACTTTCAAGTTTGGCGTTCCTTTATAGCCCTTTACTGAGCGATATGTATCTATAAACTACACCAACCACCCACGGCGAGTAACGAAGGGTAGCTTCAACAATAGACTATCGGGTTACTATAATACACGCCATAAATCACGTTCTATCTTTTTATTTTTTTATTTTAACAAAGTTTTATCGTTCATAGGCTCGCTCATTGACAAAGCTACTCAGAAGATTTTTTTTTCGAAATATTATTAAACGTGGAAACGGAATTTGCCTCCCGGCTACTAATTGTGTAGATCTTTACGAATTATACCATGACGAGTTATGTTATAACATAACCGTAAGAAAAGTTGTTTTAGAAAATTGTTTTTTGTATTGCACACAAAAGACAGAGACGACGCGCCGTTAGATGGAGTGGTGACCTGTGCAAATGTTCAGCAGATGGATGCAGGTGGCTCAGGATCTTGCTTCGTGACAGTTTTTTATGGAAGCCTATGTTCAGCAGTGGGCACGCAAAGAGTGAAAATATTAAGCCCGAAGAGGCTCAAATGATGATGATGATACAAAAACCAGCAGTTAATCAATACGTTGTCAGGATGCGCATTCAAGCGAGTTGAATTCTTCAAAGCCAAAAATGATACATAGCTGTAGAGAGCGTGACGAGGGCCTGTAAAGGATTAGGCCCTCGCTGCGGGATACGGGCGATAGTGGTCCTTATCTGAGGTTCTGAGTTCTGAGGCCGTTTCGACAGCGTCGAAGCGGCGGAGTGGGGCGAGTTGCGGCCCCTCCGGCGAGCGCGGCGCATTCTCCCGCGACCGCCGACGCCGCACCAGCGCCCGCGCAAGCGACCCCGACCGCTCCACGCGATTTCGAAATATGCGTTCGATCTCAGTGCTAAGGTGAAAACGTCGTCGTTAGTTTTTTTTTTTTCTGTGAACAACGGTGTGCAACAAACCAGTGCGCAAGGAGTATTTAGTGAAGGATTACATTTCTTTTCGTCCAGCCCGCTCGCAACCCCTGACAGATCAAGGTAAATTAATGTTTGTTTTTTCTCTTTTGGTTTCCTTGTTTTTTTTTTATTAAATCTGCGATTATAGCCGCACTTTCGTTAATCCGGCACGATCGATAATCGTTACAACATGCATCGACGTTTTGTCGTAAACACACTTTCACGGCGACTCTATTTTTCCCCTCTCGCCTGCAGTGTTTCGTTATATAAATGAATAATCAACGCACTTACGCCTGTTGTGGCTGAGATTGAAATAATTAATAACATTCTTAGATTGTTATCACAATTTCTGCGCTTTAAAAAAAATTTCATGTTATGCTTATTATGTAATATCGCAACAAATCGCAAACAGCGTAACAAAAAGTAATTTAACGCCATCAGAATACCTAGTGGGTATTCTGATTATTGCGATTATATTTTATTGGTTGAAAAAAATTTTTTTTCAAATATGAGGACATACATGATTTATATAAAGCCGAAAACTCAGATTTCGTTATCGCATTTCAAATCAAGTGCTTTAATGATTGTCCGGTTAAAATTGTAATCGAACTAGCATTTTGCGATATGCGGCCTACATTTGCAAACTGTTATACTATACATGTTCTAAGCATTGCACATACCGTCCGCAGACACATCCCGTTGCTTATTAGGGCGTTAAAATAGAGGCTGGCGTCACTTGAGAAGTATGAGAAATTACATAAATTGGGGTATTACATTCTAGTCGACATTTATGAAATGAAATCGAGATTTTCGAGCGCAGGGCAAGGCGAACCTCTCTTTGGCGGACTTTAAGAGAGAACCAAATTCAAAACGAATTCGACGAAACGCGCAATTGAGGTCGTTTTTTAATGAGTGCAATTTAGTTATTAGCCGATTGGGACGTTAACGAACATTTGATCTAGCCGTAATGACTTTCGTGGACAATGCGCATCCGATTCCTTCTTCGCGGAGGACCGATTCCGGGGAAATGTTTGAAGGGGGCTGACAAAAATGTCACGAGCACACTAAGAACGATTAACAACCACGCCCGAGGAGCATAGCAGGTAGCCGGGGTTTGTAGGAGACACTGGTCGCCGCTCGTAAATTGATTCATTGTGTTTCACAATGGTGCCCCGTAGATATGGATCGACGCTATGTCAGGTGCCAAACGTATCGCCTTTTATGCGAGTCGTAAGTGTACAGCCCAAATTGTGCGATGTTGAGTTTATTACCCGATGGAGATTTCGTCGTGTCCAGGAATACTTTTTTATGGAAGATTTGAAAAATGGCGGTGGACTATGATAAGCTATTGAGCCCAGAATCAAAGCCAGGAGTTGTGAATGCGCTGACAACCTTTTCTTTTTTTTATCTTTAGACGAAACACGCGGATGGGTCAGGTTATACTATTTTTGTCCTAAGATCAACAATAAAAATAAATCCGTAAAAACAAACAGTATGAATATATGAATGGAATTCTGTTATGCTATAAATGATTATAACATTAACCATAGCCAGCGGTACTCCATTTAAATTTAGTTTGCTACTTGACCATATATCATGGTTTAAAATGTAAAAAACATTAGTTGCTTTTTATTTACTTTTATACCCTACCGAAACTACATATTTATATACTTCTCTATAAAAATGTATTTACGTATGTGCTATAAAGAAAAGCGCATGTTTCTTTGTCTTACATTGCAATTTGTAAACCCTTTAATTGTTAATTTTATTTTTAATAACAAAAACGCATAATTTCATTATGCATTAAAATGCCTAAAATAGTTAATTAAAAGCGGAGACTTAATTAGTTATTAATGACAATATAAGAAATATTCATTTTGCTCAATAGGAATGGATTGTTTCGTATTAAATTTAGAGGGTTAGTAACCTCGATTGCTCTAGTTTTTTCAAATCAAATTTATTATATGCAGAACATTAAGATGCAGATTGCGAGTGTAATGTATAATTTATTTCGATCAACGATTTGATCCAGTTATTTTGTGTTCTTTATTTCGAGAAGCCTCCATTAACCTGGAAAAAGTTATGCAAACCATTGCCGGTGTTGATGTATGTTTTATTATGTTGAGATCTTTTCCCAGCTTCCTTGTTACGCACCGATCGCATTACAATCAATTATTGAGCGATAATATTTTCGTTTCGTTGTAATTGATCTCTAAACACCCATTTTAAGCTTTACATTGTATGCATAGTATTTATTTTCTTATTTGTAGTGTTATTGTGTCTGTTTGTTAATTTATCTTTGTCGTGCATTATTTCCTTTCGGCCCTAGAGACTAAACGTTATAATAAATAATACAATTTAATAGGCTGACTAAAATATAAAAAAAAATATTCCAAAACAGGCCTGTCTTACACTTAAATGTGCGTTTTTGTGAGAAATAATATAATATAGTGTCAAGCACTTCTAGCTAACCGGACAGGCAATTTATAAGTATCGAAATAAATTTGATGATGTCATAGACTCAATTCGTTCTCAATGGTAAGTTGAATATAAAATTATTGTATAATATGAAGTATTATAAGATTAACATAAAATAATAAAATTTTAAAATATCCACACAATAATTACATTTAAATTTTATTATATATATATTTCATGTGTACGTATAAAGTTCGAAAAAGTTAATTTAACATAAAAACAAATAGAAGGCATCTGAATCTAGTTCACCGTCATCTCTATGTATTTACCAATAAATCAATTTACTGTTCACGTAATGCGATGTTGCAACTTACATTAGCCAAAATACGTAGCTTGAGTCACTGTTTGTAACGAAAGTAACTCAAGTTTAAATAAAAGCGAAAAGATCTTTGGGCAATAGCATGTTAAAATTTTATTGGAAGTACGCCAATTACATGTAGAACAATGTCTTAATACGTTTTTCTTAAGAGGTTATTTTATTTTTGGCCTATGAATGTATACTAGGTTAAATGAATCTATAAATTCGTAAAAATATTTCGAAAAAACAAGTGTTATGACGATTAAGATCTTAAAGTTTTATTTAAAATTATGCCTCTTTTTGTCGTTTATAAAATACTATAATTAAATAAGGGATCAAACACTTTTATATAACATAAAAAATATTAAGCATAATAAAAATCTAATAGTTGGTCATTTTAAGAGACAGCGGAGTAAAAACTTGGCTCAAGGTATATTCGAGTCAGAAATAAATTTAAAAATATATAATCCAAAATACGACTGTATTCAGACTACGGTAACATGAAAACAGATTGTGTTATCACAAGATATTCATCGGATTAGAAAACAATTAAATACAGTGACACAACTTTCGTTGTTCACTGTATTTGACTGATCATAGACAATGGCTTGTCGATGGCTTGCCACCATGGAACAATACAAATTAATCAGTACGATCATCACGTATGTTCTTCTAATTGCGATGACGTCAGATTAGTTAGATTTAAGACGTACACAGGTTTAGTGTATTTGAATTATTATTTCGAAATCACACCGAATGAACCAATCAAGGTTGATTGTAGAGAGTGTTTGTAACTGTAGCGTTACTACCGCTCATGTTTTGCTAACCCATAATATACTTTGTTGCTAATTGAATATGGACGTGCGTGTGAATTAAATAAACGCGATAAAAAAGTAATTGGGTGAATGTCTTAGGAGCATAAAAACGTCACGACCAAGGATAATTTCCGCGCCGCACTACACGAAAAAATAATGTAAATTATTCAAATTGGGTACAGATTATTCAAGCAATTAGATTTTGATGAATGGACACGTACATGAATAAATTGTTTAATGACAAATAATAATAAAATAGTAGCCTTGAATAGTGACACACAAGATTGATTATTGAATGTGTCTCAAGAAATTCAATTATAACTATTCGATTTTCGTAGATGTAAAAGCTAGAAATACCCTTTTATTTCGCAAAGTAGAATCTCTTTAGTAATGTAAAAAAGGCAGTTCGTATATATCTAGAACGGCTACTGGCTTTTGGCATCCAAGGCGGAAGCGAAATAAAGAAGGAAGTTGTGAAACATAACTTGGGTTCTCTGTGCTTTTTGAACTTTGAAGGATAACGCCTCTCGGTCACTCACGTCAAATTAACAGAAAGGCTAAAAGTAATTTGAGGTTAAGATTATTGGACATAAAGAGTTAAAGGTCCATTTATGTAATAACAATAATAAATAAATAGATACTCTAATAATACAAAGTTATTAAGCATCCTATATCTATATTTATAAATTATTCAGGTTTACGACGATGGCACTTTATGCTTGTAATATAACCTTTTGCGACGAAGGTGAAAGTTGTTATTAACAATTATGTGAATATCTTGTATACGTCTTTTTAATTTTCTGGCGTCATAATCATATATTTTGTTGTTGTGGTCTATAAATACAATAATTCATATATAACATAACTGTAGTATGCATATCATAAAAGTGCAAGGCAAGGCATTCGGCGTTTCTACATGATATTTTCGTGCATTAATATTTATATTATATTATAAATTTAGGAGCCCTAATCATAAAATAATTGCATCAGTTATTGAAAAGAAATTTGCGTTTCCTCGTGTTTGCTATAAGTACATTTATAGTAATGTCAGATAAAATAGTTCTTGGGAGTTAATTGAACCGTTGCAGACTTTGGATAGAGATATTACATTTAAAATCGATGAAACAGTTGAATTTAACAACAACTACAATAAATTTTATTATAAAAATTTATTGTAGTTAGATTATTTTAACCTCAGTTTTCTTTTAAATTAAGTCATACTTTTATTGCTTTTAGTTTTATTACATTCGAAACAACTTTAAATCGTTAAATAATGCTCAGTTTATTGTTCGGACTTTCCTACATTTCTGATTAAAACATGAATATTATTATCATATTTGGAAGTTCATAAGGGCGAGACAAAATGCTGGAAGTCTGTCAAGATTGTGTACTCCCTTTTGTTTTCTTACCTTACTACCGATATTATCGAGAATATGCATATTTATCGTATCGAAAAAGCAAATTCTATGTTATAAAAAATGGTTATTAAT